CAAATTGGATTTTGATGGGTCATTTGGACTCGGATTTGGGAGTTCTTGATATGTATGGACTCGTGGCGAGATAAGAAATCTGATGATGTTAAATTTTCTGATTTTCGAGAAGTGGGCCTGGGGCTCGGGTTTTGCAAATTTCATGATTTTCGATGTTTTTCGATCCTTTTCGATTGGGTTATGTCCCCTTAGCCTATTGTGATGTATTCGCTCTGATTTTGGATAGATTCTACGCGCGTGGAGGCTGATTTGAGGGGCAAAGGCGTCGCGATCTAGAGATTTCACCGGTTCGAGGTGAGTAATGATTGTAAATGATATCCTGAGGGTTTGAAACCCCGGATTTGCACACCATAGTGCTATATTAAGGTGACTTGCACGCCGGATAGCGAGCGTGGGGTAGAGCACCGTTGGGGATTGTGACTTGGTCTGTCCCGATTGTTGATTTTACCGCGTATTTGACTGAAACTTATTTGTTATTATCATGATTTGGGCCGATTGCCATATTTGGGCTTCGTGCCAATTATCTGAACCCTTCGGGGATTTTTATCACTGTTTCCTCACTATTTTTAATATACTACTTGAACTCAGTCCTGTTGATTATACTGTTTTACAAACCGCTTTAACTGAACTTTGAGACTTAAATGATATTTCCACTGTTGTTTGGGCTGAGCACTACTATTTTATTGATGCCCGAGGGGCTTATGATATTTTCTGGACTGAGTGAGGCCGAGGGCCATATGTGAGGATATATGTGAGTGATATGAGGAGGCTTTCAGGCCTCGAGTGTTATGTGAGGAGGCTTTCAGGCCTCGAGTGCTATGTGAGGAGGCTTTCAGGCCTCGAGTGTGATGTGAGGAGGCTTTCAGGCCTCAAGTGTGATGTGAGAAGGCTTTCAGGCCTTATGATATGTGCCACGAGGTGGCTTGATATTGCGCTTGGGCCGTAAGGGGCCCCTCCCGGAGTCTGCACACCCGCAGTGAGCGCCGTCGACGAGATATGGATCGGGCTGCACGCCGCAGCGAGATATGTGGATCGGGCTGCACGCCGCAGCGGTTACTATATGATACTGTCCTGAGAGTGATCCGAGAGAGAGAGCCCGAGGGACTGAGAGTGTTTCTGAGAGTCAGCCCGAGGGGATATTGCCCGAGGGGCAAACTTTTATGTGCGCATCTTGCATATTTACTTGCCTTTTTACCTGTTATACTGCGGTATTTGTGCCCGAGGGGCGGATTTTTCTGTGCTTAACAGCACTAACTGTTTTGAAATCGTTTCGTAACTGTTGAAAAGATCTTTTTCAAAAGGGATTTAAACTGAGCCAATATATTTCTAAAGATTTCACAGCTTCACTGTTTCTCAAAGGATTGTACCCTGCTTCTATACAGCATGTTGGTTGCTTTACGTGATTTCTTACTGCTTAGTTATTATTTACCTTTATTTCTCACTGAGTTGGAGTACTCACTTTACTCCCTGCACCTCGTGTGCAGTTGCAGGTATTTGTTCACCCGATAGCGGGTATTGGCTGTTGGGAGGCAGAGCTGTAGTAGTTTAGCGAGGTGACTGCCAGCGTTCGCATCACCGTTTCTTTCTATTGTAATTCATTATTCCTGTTCAGCGTATTTCTAAACTTGTAAATATAATTACATTCTTGTAGATGCTCGTGACTTGTGATACCCTGATTAGGGTTGTGTTGGGTTGTATTTCCGCTAATTAATACTATTAAGTTATATTTAAGCTGTGTAATTATGTTTAACTACTTTTGAAAAGATGAGTTGGGTTAGTTGGCTGGCCTCGTCTTCACGAGAGGCGCCATCACGACCAGTGCGGGGGTTTGGGTCGTGACAATTAATAATATCCAATATAATTTTTAAATACGTTATTTTATATGTGTATTAGCTAGTAGGTCTCTTAATAAATTCAACTTTTCTGAAACAATGGTGAAAAAATTAGAAAGTTCAAATTCACATATTATCGGGATGTTAAGTTTTTGTTCGTTATTTATTTTAGCGATTCTACAACCCTATACTCTACTATGATTTCCACTAATTAATATTGGATACAGTTGTGATGATAATTTTAACTTTGTCTCCTCGTGTAGATCGTTCAAAACGGTAATGGTTTTGAGACTTTTATTTGACACAATATTTGGCTCCCTTTGGGACCATATATTACACCTAAGCGTTACTTGTTCTTCTTCTTCTTTTAATTTATTTATTGAAGGCACCTAATCTTTTCTTATGAGAAATTTGAATATGTTGTCATTGTACTTGTACATGATTCTTTTCGATCTTTAACAATGACTGGATTGGCCTACCACCAAAGTTTGAAAGCATTATTTTCCATGACTTTGATAATTTGTATAACTATTTTCGTTGTAAAATTTCAGAAAAAGCACGTGAAAAAAAAAAAAAAAACATTTGCTTAGAAATTAGTGGCTTTGCGCTACTATTTAATGGATTTTGCTGGGAAAAAAATTGTATAAATTCAAAATCCTTTGCTTTTCTCCAAAGAAAAAGAAATAACTATCGCTACACTTTAAGAAACTTTTTGAAATAAAAGCCTCAAACAAACAATTTTGCACATTTCATCAAAGTTCAAATTTTTATTTAAAAAAAAGAGAGAGATTCACGGTCACACACTTCATAGAATCTAAATAACATGAGGAAGTTAATCACACAGTTGATCCAAACGTTGAAGCCATATTACCAAGAGTTGTGGCTGGATAAACAGGATCCACTCACTCTTAATTAGAGCTCTCCAACATTAATCGAGTCTTGAAAATAAAAATAAAAATTGGTAGGAAGCAATTTCCTTTTTAATAGATCCTACGCAACACGAATTCGAATTAGTTGAGTCTTAATACGAGTACCAAATACCGAATGAGAACCCAAAAAAAAGTTCTTAATCCGTTACTTTTCTCCAAAGAAAAAAGAAGAATAATAATTATCCCTACACTATAGAAACATTTTTGAAATATAAGTCTCAAACAAACAACTCTGCCCATTTCAGCAAAGTTCAAAAAGGGAAAAAAAAAATTCACGGTCAAACACTTCAAAAAATTTGAAGAAGTCAAGCACAATTGATTTTATCCTTGTGATGGGATAGATAAAGTTCCTCTATCATTAACTTGAGATATCAAATTTGACTCCTGAAAATAAAATAAATTATTGTATAAAGAACTTTTCCTTTTAATGGACCTTACGCAACGTGAGTTCGAATTAATTAATTCCTAATTAGATGTCTATTTTGAAGTTCATAGTTTTAAGGATGTAAAGCCGATTTACCAAAGAGTATATAAGAATGGAAAAAAAATACATATGGAACAATTTTTTTCGTTGCTAAAGGGTCAAATTACTCATAGATATTTTTCAAAATGAGCAATCAGTGATAAGTGATAGCCCAATTATTTATTTTAGAAAGATAAGTGACACTAACATATACCCACTCATTTTCATACTAACGATAAGCTCATAGTTGAAGAATTAAATATGGTAGGGTTTTTCATTGCGTAATAACGGCTATATTTTTCGCGGGGACCATGTCAAAACTCAAAACTACTCTAATTGTCCCATTTGGACTTTTTAGAATTGACATTACTCAAATATCCAAAGTACACAAATTAAATATAGGAATTAGGATTACTCTTTTTCATTTGTTTCATAGAACGAGTACATCTTGACATTTAGATTTTACTTCAAAGTTTTCTCAACTTATATATTCAAGTTAAATTAATTAAGTTAATTGTTGTGTTATCGTTATTGTTTATAAAAGCTTAAATAAATACAAATAGGGAGAACGTTAAGTTGATCATAATACTAGTTAACATGAATTCAAATTATTCAAATCCTACTAAGTTTTATGTAATAATTTGGACGGTTTAGGATATGAGATTTTGCACAACCTATCAAGAAAAGGACCAGTATGCAAATTATTTGATTTTTTAAATCTTCTTTACTTTGAATTTGAAACATGACATGACTGATGAGCAGTGGCGGAGCCACCTTATAGGAAAGGGGTGTCAAATGATACCCCTTCACGGAAAAATTATACTGTGTAGGTAGGTTAATTTTTTTAATAAGTATATATATATATTATGTATTGACTCTCCTTAATTTTGCGGTATATTTACTTTTATATATTTTGATACTCCTTAACGAAAATTCTGCCTCCGCCACTACTGATGAGACTTTTAGTAGCTCGTTGCCTATCTTTTGAATTAACTTCTTTTTTCCTTTTATATCATTAGTGACCATTTTATGCGCACATTTTTTTGACTTTTTGATTTATAGTTCGCAAAACCAATAAATATGTACTAATTATTATAGGATTTAGCATATATATATATATATATAGATATAGAGGTTACATAGGTTTTTAAGGTGACTACGTGTGACACCTAAAGTTGGAGGACATACTTGCCAGCTGCGGCCAAGTTTGAGGGCCTATTTATGTATTATGCCAATATATTACTAGTGAAGTCTTTTTTGGTTTATTTAAGATTAAGACGTCTAACAGCTTGTTTGGATGGTTGTTACATATCGTTTCATAATGTATCGTATTTTATTGTATTATATTGTTTGATGAATATAAAGTTTGGATAGATTGTATCGTTTGCCGTTGTTTCATGATATCACGCACCAACAATATGAAGAAAAAATTATGATACGAGGTAGAATTATTATATAGAAAGATAGAGTACATGATAAAATAAAATTATTTAATAATAACGAAGGGCGAGATGAGAGAAAAAGATAAGGTAATGATGCGACCACACCAAATAGGTTGTTATATAAGGTGGCACATTTCGTCGTTACGTAACGACGAATCTAACGAAACAATACAATAATATTTAAGTAACAATCAAAATAAATATCGTACTTAAAATAATAATACGATACAATATAATAAGTAACAATCATCTGAATATTAAGATCTGTATTAAGTAACTAAAATTCTCTTTCTTCTCTCTTTTTAAGGCTACAATATCTTTTCTTTTTTGCCTTTTAAATCAATAAATTTAGTTTCCTTACATCTGAAAGAACTTTTTGTCTTTTCTTTTCTTTTTGAATGTAGAGATTAGAGGGGGTATTTTCCTTGCATTTGAATCCTCCCTCTTCAATCATCCAACTTCCCATATTTTATCTTCTTTTTCCCCTTGAACTGTTAAGGCATTTTCCCATTTTAGCATTTTTTCTAATCTTATTGTTTCTATATTCTTTTATAGGCTTGTGATATCTATATGTTAATCAACATTTTATCAGTTTCCTTGTGCAATTTAATGCTTGAAAATAGCCTTTCTTTGAATTCTTAGATACCCAATTGTGAAAAGACTCAATTTTTATATTCCTATCTGATTTTATTAGTTTATTTCTGCAATTTGTTGCCCAAGAAATGGTCTTTCTTTAAATTCTTGGATACCCATTTTAAAAAGACTCAATTTTTATTCTTCTTTCTGAAAGTTGACCATTTCTTTTGTGTAAAATCCACATTTTATCAGTTTTTTTATGCCCAAGAAAATGGTTTTTCTTTGAATTCTTGAATTACCCATTTGTAAAAAGAATCGATCTTTGTACTTTTATCTTATTTTATCAGCTGTTTTCTGCAATTTGATGCCCAAAAAATGGCTTTTCTTTGAATTTTTGGGCCCCATTTCTGAAAAAACTCAATCCTTGTGCTTATATCTGATTTTATCAGCTCTTTTCTGCAATTTGATGCCCAAAAATGGCCTTTTTTTAAATTCATGAATACCCATTTGTAAAAAAGACTCAATCTTTTGTGTAAAAATTCACAAAAATGTATGGAACTCATAGCAAGAAAGACATGGAAATTGAATACCAATCACAAGTTCCAATTTTGAGGCCAAGTATACATGCAAGAAGGGCAAAAATAACTGTAAAATTTCAAGATCTATATGGATTTACAGTTGAAGGGAATGTTGATGATGTAAATGTGTTGAATGAGGTTAGGGAAAAAGTTAGGGAACAAGGGAAAGTTTGGTGGGCATTAGAAGCAAGCAAAGGTGCAAATTGGTATTTGCAAACTCATGTTTCATCAACACTTAAAACATCCTTAAAGTTCTCTGCTTTGGTGAATGCAATTACTCTCAAGAAGCTTATTAGGAAAGGTATCCCACCTGTTTTGAGGCCTAAGGTGTGGTTCTCACTATCAGGAGCAGCTAAGAAGAAATCAACCGCCCCGGATAGTTATTATGAGGATATGACCAAAGCTATACAAGATAAGGTCACACCTGCAACCAAGCAGATTGATCATGTGAGTTTCTTGGTCAAATGTTACACTGATACATTGTTGAGATTCAATGGAAAGTTTTTGATTTTGTTACTGAGCATGTTTTATGTTTATTTGATGTCCTTTTTTATAGTTTGGTTAGTTTTTGCAGGCTATGTTGAGACTTTGTGTTTTGATAGCATGATGGATGCTGTTGATGGCTATTTTTTGTGGTCATAGATGCTCTAGATGTGAATTTTGTCATTTATTAGAGGCTGAAATTCTAGGATGTTATGAAGTATTATTATAAAAAAATTTGGCACGGACAAATTTGTTGTGCGTAGAAGCTTTTGCAGTTTCAAATGTTTCACTTGCATGCCACAGTTTATGACCTAAATTATGATGGATTCTGAAGATGTGAATATGATAATTAGAGTGAGTCCACAAGATGATTATTTAGCCAAAAATCAAACATTCCAATGTGGAAAAAGTTTTGAGAAGGAGAAGTATCTATTACGCTGTAAGATAGCTCATTGTACAGAGTGATTCGGCATTTCTTGGTGGTATTAGAAAAAGAGAAGGGAATGAGTGGACATGCACTGCCTATTATTTATAGAGAAAGAGTAAGGAGAAAGATGTACATCCAAGGATTGACTGCTTATATTTGCCTTAGTTCAAGTGTAACAGACAAATGTTCTTTAATTAGTAAACATGCACAAGTCATTAGGCTATTTTCAAAATTCAAATGTAATAGGCTTGGTCTTGGATACAAATTACCACCCCGATCAAGGATTCAATGTGCATTGATAAGATGAGATCCCTCATAAGACAAGGCCCTAATAATGAATATTACTGTGTATGTGCTAGAACTTGCCTCGGCTTGATATTTTCATGGCAGCCTTCACGTTGAGTCGTTAGAGATTCATTAAGTGAAAGATTATTCACACTCGTAAGAGCGGCACTAGACTTTCTTTTCCTGTTTTGGTTTGTTAACTGTTCAGGATTCTGCACAGTTTGTTATATATGCTGCATGATATGTGAAGAGAATGATTCACTCGTTGTGTCTTTTAAAGTGCCAGTCTTGCAATTAAAGAGGGTCTTCGTATTGATGTTTCCTTATATGTGAATTAAAGTCCGTATAAACGCTTTTAGTTCTGGGAGGTTTATTGTTTTAGAGCAAGGTTCACTCGTTGTGCATATATAAAGCAATTAAAGCTTTATGGTGTCTTCATATTGATATTCTCTTTGCTGTGAACTAATGCTTTAAGTTCTAGGAGGATTTTTTACTTTGCTAAAAGATAGGATTATTTTGCATAATTTATTGCCAAGCTTGAAGGAAATGTAGAAAATTTTGAGATACATAATTTTTTATGTTTTGGTATTACCACCTTTATTTTGATTGATTTTCAACATTTTCTTTACTTGCAGGACCTCCCGCGAACCTTTCCTGGTCATCCATGGTTGGACAGTCCTGAGGGTCATGCTGCCCTAAGGCGTGTCCTTGTTGCCTATTCTTTCCGCGATTCTGATGTTGGCTACTGCCAGGTAGATCTATTTTTCTTTGTGAGTAGATCATAATGTTTATTTCGGCCAAAGATATTATTTTATTAATCCTATCAACTTTATATTTTCTCCGTGCTGCCATACTTTACAGGGGAGGCCATGTAGTCATTTTCTCTCTCTCTCACACACACACACATCAATGTAACTGCCCTTTGTTTTAGATTATTTATCTGTCTATAAGCTAGAATAGGCCCGGCTTATAGGGTTACATATGTTATATGAAGTTAGACCATTTAGATCTCTTTTTCCTTGTTAACACTTTGTTTTATTCTAAAATATAATTTTTTATCCTTTTAGCTCTAATTTTCTTTTGAAGAAAGTATCCTTTTAGCTCTATTAAGCGTATACTTATATTTGATGTAAAACTTGATAAAGTCAATATATCTTTGTTTCTTTCTAACATGATTAAATTGCCATGCTAAGCGCACTAATCAGTTTAAGTAATGAAGCAGTAAGTAAAGTATCGTCCTACGAGGATTAACAAATCAACAGATGTGGTGATTACGTTATAATATTATTTGGGATGTAGAATAAAGTACAAGGATCGGCAACTAACGCAAAAGAAACTAACCAAAAAGAATTGGAGGCCAGAGCGAGAAATGCAATTCTTCAGAGGAAATCTATCTGAGACAATGTCGGGGAACTGATTTCAACTGCACCTTTTCAAGAAATAATAGGACCCCAAATTCCCTCTCAAGTGAGATTGCCTACTTGAGTATTTTTAAGTTGAGGTTTTGGTTAAGTTCTAGGCTTGTTCAGTTCGAGATGTATTAGACTCTACGAATCCTTTATGGTTGAGTCACGGTCACCCTATCAGTTTAGACTCTAACTGACCACAAATCTCCTAAAGTCCCTCTCAGTACTCTTGTTCAATCTGTTGTAGACATTGACATAATATTAATGGAAAATGGCCTGATATACCCCTCTACTTTGCTTTATTGTTCAATCATGTCCCCCGTTATACTTTTCGTTCAAATTTACCCCTGCCGTCCATCAAAGTTCTAAATTTGTCCCTATTTTAACGGTTGAGACAAGTGGCACATTCTAAAAGAATGAACCAATCCAACTCAGAAAATAACCCAACCCGATCCACTACCCAACCCACTCCCCAACTCGCTTCTCTCCAATTCACTCTTACTTTTCCCCCAGTTCTTCACATCAAGATCAAAACGTTACTAATTTCAGATCTCAAAATATCACTATTGAGCTCCTAATTTGAAAAGAGAACTGGATATTGGTAAAAATTATGTTCTAAAGAATGAGTCACATGATAAAGTTGAAATCTTGAAAATTCTCTTGAAACCTTTTGTGAATAAGTTAGCAGTAGCACCCATACCTTCTTCTGGGGACGAATCAATAATTATCAACTGTAAAGAATCAGCACAAATAAAGATTTTGGTGATAAAGTTAGAGTCACGAAGGCAAAACAGAGCAAGAATTCAGCACCAAAATCAGAGGAAATTACTAAATGGGTATGCTAGAATTGGCAAGCATAGGTGGTTGAGGTATTTTTCCGGTCAAGCGGTGGTGGCAGCTCCACCGGAACTGCCACCATTTGAGCACCACCTGACACCATATAAAGGGCCTTTGGCAAATAAAGTGTTGGAGAAATGAAAGAAATTTTTGGGTCGTTCTCTCTTCTGCTATTACACAAAATCAGTAACTATTTTCTTACAACAACATTAACCCAGTAGTAACTATTTTTCTTACAACAACATTAACCCAACAGTAACTATTTTCTTCTTTTAATTAACTATATATTGCTTCCATATTTTCTATGATTAGTGGATTCTAAAGTACTTGAATCAACAAATTGAGTTGTGTGGGTTACTTTTTGAGGAAAAAAGCGTAAAGAAAGAAGAGGAACAGATATGTTTCTCTGCACTTAAATTTGATGATCAAGATTTGATTTTTTTTTGGAATGTGTATTTGCTCGAGTATCATCATTTTGATATTTATCACTGAAAGGAGTCCAAGTTCTCATCTTCACTGAAGAGAAGTGAGTTGGTAACGAGTGTCAGCTAATGGGTTGAATTAAGGGGCGGGTTTTAAAATTGGGGATGAGTCTTTTGTTCAGAATGTGCCACGTGTCTCAGCCGTTAAAATAGGGGTAAATTTAAAACTTTGATGGACGGCAGGGGTAAATCTGAACAGAAAGTATAACGGAGGACAAGATTGAACAATAAAGTAAAGTAAAGGGGCATATCAGGCCCTTTTCCGTAATATTAATCAAAGCAAACTAACGCTCAGGGATGAATTTAAATGCTTATTTAACACAACTTCTCTGTTCGAATCTCGCTGGGGTAAACTCACAATTTAAACAAGTAAATAGCATCAAAATCAAAAAAGCATAATCTTTCTGGAAATGACTACAAAATATAAAATAAAACATCAAATCTAAATGTTCGATCCATCTACCCTTAAGAAAAGAATTCTACTTCATAATGTAGTTAAACAAAACTAAGAGAATATGAGAATTTATAGTTAATATCGAAAGAAAAGAATAAAGGAAAGATGAACATGGTTAAAGAAAGTTGGCTTGGTCGTCTTTTCTTCTTTCTTCTTTTCTTAGTGAACCCTATCCTTGGTTATCTCCTCAAAATTAAACTCTCTCTGCCTCTTAAAACCCTCTTTGCTCAACCTTCAAACATGCTGTTACTGAAAAAAATCTTCAAACATGCTGTTACTGAGTTTCAATCGAATAAGGAAATCTTTCTGTTCCTGAAAAAAATGTAGAAATCTGAAAACGCCTCTGGGCATCGCTGTGCTGACTTGCTGTGCTATCCACGACGCTGGCACAGCTGCGCTGAGTCACTGCCCGGGTTGTACTACTTTGCTGGTATACCATTGGTAAAATTCAGCATAGCTGTGCTGATTCACTGCCAATATTGTGCATATCCAAAATGTGCTCAATTTGCTTCTTTGGAATCTAGACTCAGTCAGGTTAAGTTAAGGTCCAACTCTTTCTGATTTATACAGTTTTGATTCTGAAGCTGAATCATAATATGACCTCTTTTGATAGCATGTTTTCCATAAATCATCATTCTCCTCATGTAATCTGCAAATGAAGCTATTCCGAGGAAACAGAGCTGATATTATTCCTGAACTTGTATATAAACAACAGCAAACCCCGTGAAATCCCACATGTGAGGTTTGGGGAGGGTAGTGCGTATGCTAACCTTACCCCTACCTTGAGAAAGTGGAGAAACTATTTTCGGTAGACCCTAAGCTCACAAAGATACAAAGGTAAAAAGGATAAAAGGCTGAGGAAAGGTAAAAAGGAGGGAACAATAACAAGCAGCAACACCAGGAAAGCAATCAGAAAATCAAAGCGAAAGAAACAAGTAATCTAAGAATAAGAAATACAAGAGTAGCACTAAGTAGTGCACTAAAACTACTGGTATGAACAAGGTAGATGCTCCGCTACATAACTACTACCCTCATTCTCGACCTCCACACCTTCCTATCAAGGGTCATGTCCTCGGTAAGTTGAAGCATCGCTGTGTCTTGCTTAATTTTCTCTCCCCAATACTTCTTTGGCCTATCCCTACCTCTCCTTAGGGCTTAGGCCCTCCCGGACCACAACCTCTCACACCTCCTTACTGGGGCATCTGTGCCTCTCCTCTTCACATGTCTGAACCATCTAAGTCTCGCTTCCCGCATCTTGTCCTCCACAGGGGTCACGCCCACCTTGTCCCAAATAACTTCATTCCTAATCTTATCTATACTGGTGTGCCTGCGTATCCATCTCAATATCTTCATTTCTACTACCTTCATCTTCTGGACACGGGAGTGCTTGGACATGGGAGTGCTTGGACATGGGAGTGCTTGACTGGCCAACACTCAGCGCCATACAACATAGTTGGTCTGACCACCGCTCTGTAGAACTTGAACATAAAGAGCAAGAATATTTATCTTATGCTACTATAGAAGTGAAACCAGTTGATGAACTATTACCACTGGCTTAAAATCAAATATTTTATGAATCACGCATGGTTGTATAGGTTTAAACTATTTAATCCAGTTTGTGCTTTTTGCAATATCCAGACAGATTGTTCTCTGCAGTTTGTCCATGTTGATAATTTAGGTGATGTTTGATTTTGTAATTGATTATTCTACATCAAATAGTAATATATTTAGTACAGTTGCTTTAGGTTCTAACCAAGTGGCATGCAGCATCCAACTCCTCACAATTTGAAGTATTTTGGACATAAAGTGGGCTTTGATTGTGTTTGACTTAGAGAAAAAGATGTGGGAACCTATATCCAACAAGTGTTCATTTTGCTTCACTAATAGTTGATATGTCGTTCAGGTCTAAATGGGTTGATTTTTTTTGCAGGGATTAAACTATGTTGCAGCATTATTATTGCTTGTAATGAAAACCGAAGAAGATGCTTTCTGGATGATTGCTGTCCTTTTAGAGAATGTATTAGTTAGTGACTGTTATACAAAGAACTTGTCTGGATGCCATGTCGAACAAAGAGTATTCAAGGATCTATTAACCAAAAAATGTCCCAGGTGCTTTTTATCTTTTCCCAGATGTTCGTCGTTAGCATGAATGTTGAATTTTTACGAGTTATGCTGTTTTCTGATACTGATGAGGGAAAGTACAGGATAGCCGCTCATTTGGATGCACTGGAGTTTGATGTTTCTCTTGTTTGCACTGAGTGGTTTCTCTGCCTTTTCGCGAAAAGCTTGCCTTCTGAGGTCGACAATCTTAGTCTCTCATTCTCTCTGTGTGGTGTCAGTTGCTACGAAATAGATCATGCGCTCTATTATCTCGTATTGGTTAATGATTCTTGCGTCTGCTATTTCATTACAGACAACCTTGCGGGTCTGGGATGTCCTTTTCAATGAAGGTGCAAATCTTCTATTCCATGTGGCATTGGCAATTTTTAAGGTAAATGATTCCTAATATTTGTGTTTCACATTTATGATAACTTTTTTCACTGTTGATTTTCTTGCCTCTCGATTTTCCATTAGCTTAGAACTGAATTTCGAATACTAAGAAAGTCCTCTAATATGCCAATGACTAGATGAATGAAGAAGAGTTGCTGACTGTGCATCATGTCGGAGATATAATTCATATCATCCAGAGAAGCACTCATCAACTTTTTGATCCTGATGACTTGTTGACGGTAACATATTCTCGCTAGACTCATGTTTCTATTTATGGTCATATCTTCAAGTACCTATTTAAAGGAATAAGCTGGGATGCTTTTTCCTGTGAAGTTTAGTGTCTGATTTCATATGCATAAGGATTTAACTTATGTATATTGACCGAAAAGAAATTTTGCACCATCAGTTCCATTTAACTAGATATAGTTATCTATTATTGTAGGTTAACTTAACCGGATGGTATGCAAAATCTATAGATTGTCCATGCGTAGAACTTAAACTCAATGCATAATGCTGAGGGCGACATATTCTTAGAATTTTGGAACAACTTTTTTTCAGGTTGCTTTTGATCAAATTGGCTTTATGACAACCACTACTATTTCAAGACAGAGGAAAAAGCAGGAACCGGCGGTCATGGCAGAGCTTGACCAGAGACTAAAGCGATTAAATTCTATAAATACGGGCGAGGAACAATAGTTTATGAGCGAAACTTAGTAATTGTAGTATATATATATTTATACAAATGTATCTCTATCAGGGCATGCTGCCCTTTTAGGAAATCAAACTTTTGCTCATAAAGCAATGAGCTAGACAGCAGCTTGGAGAGTCTTGTGGTTTATTTGAGTTGTATGTATGTAGATCTTCAAAGGTGTAAATTTTGAACTGTTTTATTCTAGTTCTTCATTTTTGCTCCTTACTGTTACCTATTTCTGTTTTGTGTACTTCAAGAAAGAAATCATGGTAGAGTGTGCTGGTAAAAGAATTTTTTGTTTTTCTTTTGGCTCTTTGACCGGAAACAGCCTCTCTACTCCTCCGGAGTAGGTGTAAGGTCTGCGTTCACACAGCCCTCCCCAAACCCTACTTGTGGGATTTCACTGGGCTGTTGTTGTTGTTCTTTTGGCTCTTTGAGAAAGATCACGGGTAAGTTCCAAGTGGTCGTATTGAGCACGTATAGGTCCCAAGTGGTAGTGGTGAGCACGAGTAGGTAGTTCCAAGGTTCCGAATGACCGTTTGAGCACGGGTTGGTTCCAAGTGTCGTGCTAAACACGAGAAGGTTACAAGTAGTTGCGCAAAGCATGGGTAGGTTCCAAGTAGCCATACTAAGCACGGGTAAGTTCTTAACACCCAAAAGATATTTACAATTAATCTTTCTTAAAAGTTAGTTTTACTATCAGAACTTCAAAAATTGTACAAGAATTGAACCTACCTGACTTCTTAAATTAACATTTAAAGTGTTATAAATGATATCATACGATATAATTTGGAAATGCTGCTATCCACCTCACTGAAATGGTCCCTTGCAAGATAAAAAGATCTGAGACTCCCTCAAGAGCAAAATATTGTTGTATAATCACCCCCGCTGGGAACACAAAAATAGTTTAAAGCACAGTGAAAGATAGAAAACAAGAGCGGTTTAGGATAATCCAGGGTTTGGAGCCAATACAATATATTTCTACCATTTTACAAGAATCTATCATGATGACAAAGACAAGCTACACAACACACTTAATTTAACCAAAATTCTCAAGATAGTAACTACTACAGTTGATGGCCAGAAAACAAATGTATGCTATTCTAGGTGTTCTTTTTGCTATCGGAATGTGATACATTTTGGTCAACTGATTGCAATTGGCTTCGAAGATTCTGATTTTCTTCCACCAACCGATCATATTTGAGCAGAAGTTTTTCAGATTGACCCTTGAGAGAATCTGAATTAGCCTTCTGAGAATTTACCTCCTTTTCTTTTGCCTCGTTTTCGGATTCCAGCTGCATTACCTTGTTCCTCAAGGAGGAGATTTCATCCTTTAGGTTACTGGCTTCACCATTCTTGCCATTATCCGATGCGCGATCCTGCTTCTTTACAGCTTCCATGGTCTTCCTAAGTAAGCGAAGCTCTCTTATGTAATGGTGTAGCCTGTCTACCATCAGTCCAAGGAATAGACAAAATCCTGCAAAAATTTGAAAGCATTTGAACCCTGTTATGCAGAAACTTGCTTCAAACAGATAGGCTAAACCATGTAGTCTGAGTTTCACCAGCCAAATATTCTTATGCAGGTAAATCAGATACAAAAGGGAGTGTGTTATCACATCATATGCTGAATAACATAACATATTTCACCTCTGGAACCTTTAAGGATCTTAAATAAAGCAAGCAACTTGTATCAGTCAACATTAAGAATAGAACTCCCTCCAACTTGTATCCAAGTCTCTCTAATATCATATTTTAACAGTATTAGGCGGCAAAAACAGTGCATGTGCCCCAATTTTTCACTTTTTTAACACTGTAAAACACAAAATTTTCATTGTAACTCAGCCACAATCAAGTCCAAGTGCCAAACAGCAAAATTTAGAAGGCGGGGTTGGGGGGGGGGGGGGTACATAGTACCACCAGTGTGGAACAAAAGTTTAAACTCTAGCCAGTTGGCACTCTTTGAACCATATACTCTCTTCTGATTTCTACTATCACATGCCATGGTAGTGCAAAAGATGAACTAAATATCTTTCTGACAGTTTGTCACACCCAGGGGCTGATATGGAGGGTAACTTATGGATTCATTGGAACCTAATAGCCTTTGCTCGGACCCTATATATGTGTTGAGAAATCCACCAAATAAATAAAAATAATAAAGTTCGAACCCAGTAAATCAAATGGGATGTGATAGAATCCCGAACTTGAACCCATAATGTTCAAATACGGAATTCGCCTCTGATCACACCTTGTTTGAAGAAGTGCTTGCAACTTGCAAGGCAGCTTCAGAGCACCACCAACTTCTTACGCTGTGAAAGAACTTCTAAATCAAAATCGCAATAGTTCTTCAATTGAATGCTTAGCCTTCAGGCATAACTCTGATCCACCAAACTAGTGTCCTAATGAAACTCTTTTTAACCCCTTCCCCCATGAATTATCCCAATAACACTCTTTAAGAGATGGTTCTTCTCCTTAAGGTCCATCTTCGCCAGTCAAACAATCTCTATGTGCCAAGGAGACGCACATTCAAGCAACTTTACACATTCCTTTGACAAGTTTGAAATTGAATAACTGTTTATAAGACATTCAAATCTAGATATAAGCTTTTCTTTAAGAATGCAATTCCAACCAGGGCGAATCTGGCATTCTAATAACGGGTGTAAATTATTTATGCACCCACTTACTATTCCGTGGCTGATGCGGACTCGGGGATGTTGAATCTTCCCAAAGAAAGAGAGCGCTCTCTCCCTCCCTCCCTCACTCCCTCCCTCCCTCACACACACTCACACACACACACACACATACACGGAACGATGCTTGAAGGAGGTAACTATTAAGACTCAAACTCTGAAGAAAAACAAAAGAAGAACAACAATTTTAGAGATGCTATCGCATCCCCACTAGATGTAAATGCATCTAAAGCATTTCATAGCCATCAGGAAGCGCAGCCTTGAAATGCTAACGCAACCAGTGCAGTTATGGTAATCTTTTCAAGCAACACTGAACAGTTGAGAGGAGAGGTGAATGCATCACTCTAAGATGTGTTCGTCTGGTCAATCTAGAAACCTCCCTGGATGTTACAAATCTACTTTGTGCGTATGCACCAGGAATCATCGCAAATGCATCCCCTCTTCTTTTGCTGATCACAGCCTAAATCCTAGTTTGTTGTTTTAAGCTTAATTTTTCGAAGTCCAATGCCTTACATTATTATCCTAATAGGTGTAGGTCATAGCACTGCTATAAATAGATAGATCTCATCTTCATCCCAATAAATAGATAGATCTCATTGCAATTAGCAAAAATACTTTGATGAACAAAACATTGGCGCAGGTGTTAGCTTGAAGAAGACCCTCTATTGAGGTATTGAGCATCGTCCCCTCCCTTCTTTCTCTGCCCACTTCCTTCATTCTCTACTACTTCGAATCTTACTTGGATCACTTTGAAGTATGATTACTTGCATGAGTTTCCCCTTCATCTTTCTTCTGGGCTATAGTCGAGTCTAAGCATGAATCTTCGTTAATTGGATCGGTTACTTGCTTCTATTAATTCGGTATTGAATTCTTACTTGGGTTCTCCGTCTTCTTCTCGAAAAATATTCTATTGAATTCTTCTTGGATACTGATTACTCAATTGATAATAGCAAGGATTCAAGTCCCTAAAAAATTTTGGTTTGTATCCTACACATTGGATCATCAATACCACATATCCTTTGTTTTCATTTTTGTTGCTTGCTTTTACTCCACCCAGTCTACGTCAGCGGCAGCGAGCGAAATTCATAAGAAATATACACTTCTTTAAAAATTGCTCAACTACATATACAGTTCAAGTCGAAGCCAGTGTGCTATGACACCTACTGCTTAAAAACTAAATCCGTCCTTGAATTTTGAACCCTTTTGTACTTGAACTAAACTGGAACTTGAGAACTAGTAACCAAGGAATTTTGCTTAAACATGCCCGAATATCGAATTAACTACTCTCTGTCCGTTTTATGTGTTACACTCCATTTTCAGTGTCTCTTCTAAAAGAACTGACACCTCTCTATATATAAAAATAATTTAACTTTAAACTTTTTCATTTCCCTATAAGATACTTATAGCACACGGATGAGATATTTATAGGACACGGATGAGATATTTATTATAGAACACAAGTTTCAAAAGTGAAACTTGGTAAAGTTGCTGCGATGTGACCAGGAGGTCACGAGTTCGAGCCGGCCTCTCGCAGAAATGCGAGATAAGCTTGGGCCGAACCCCGCAAATAGCGGGAGCTTAGTGCACCGCGCTGCTCATAAGTTTCAAAAGTCTTTCTTCCTTCCCCAGTCCAATCAAACACCATCACATAAAATGGGACAAATGGGACAAAGGAAGTAAATCATAGCATCACACTAAATACTACTAACTTGTTCATTTTGCTCCAAAAATAACCATAAAAAGGAAATTCTACCCCCACAAAAAGAGGGTTGAAAAAAAGGCAAAAATAAACACACCCATGAATTAATCATAAAAGGAATTCCACAAACAACCAAAAAACCCTCAATAATTTGCAAAAAAAGAAACATACCCATAAGAGCAGCTTGGAGAATTTGATGAGCAAGAAGGATTTGATCAGTGGGATTAACAGCATCAGTAGGGCGAGACTGCAACTCCCTAATAGAGTAAACAGTGTAAATCATGATCACAAGAACGGTGGCAGCTACAGATTTAACAATCAACGGTCCACGCCCTCGTTTGACTCGGTCAAGAGTCATGATTATCAGTTTCCTCAAAGGGGTTTTGAAGAGAAATAACAAAATTAGTGACATTTCTAAGAATACCACCATAAACAGAAGCTGTACTTGTGCTAACATTTTTTTGATATTAGTACCAAAATAACTGCTCTTTTTGTAGGGAACTGAAATTCAGCAAAGTTTCCTCACTCTTTTTTGGGTAAGGAGAGTTGGACAGAGAAATTTGCTATTTGTGGAAAGTGCAGAAAAAGGGATTGCTTTTTGAGAAGAAGGTGGCTTTATTGTGGAAGAGTGGAGAGGTGGACTTGTTTTAAATGATACACTTGTTTTTCTGTGTCACGCGGCTTACGCCACCAAAAACTAGCGTCGGCAAGTTTTTTACCTTTAAATATACGAATATTTTTTCTCGAAGTAACCTGTTGATTTTTATTTTTCTGTTTCCCACTGCTTTGGGCTCTAAAGGCTCTGCGTCCACCACAATTGAAATAAGATTTGGTACA